AAAACAATTTTCTATTCATTAATTTAATATAATAATATTTTAATTTTCTTTTTTTTTTAAACTTAAATGCCAAGTAGTATGTTAAAAATAATACTTTTTTCTTAATTCTACATGTTTTATATTTGTAATTAAAAAATAAAACTAAAATTATAATAATAACCAAAATTTGTTATAATTCAAAAATTTTTATAAATTTTACGATTCTAAGTTTTAAAATAATTTAGAATTATTAGAATAATTAATATTCTCAAAAATTTTTTAGAAAGAAACTATCTTTAGTTATTTATTTTATTTATTAATATAAAAAATGATTGAGTAATTCAATTTTTAAAATGAATATTAAAATAAATAAATAAATTGTTATGCCATATTTTTTCTCAAAGTTGTAATAATTTAAAAATACAATTTTTCGATCAAAATTTAATGATCTACATATAATTGTTAATCATACTGCAATTCCAATATATTTTTCTACACATATTTAAGTATAAAAACATACTGAATTCAATACAATAATTCACAATTATACTACTTCAGAACTTGATACAAAAACTTCATACAAATGGCTATATAAAAAATATATAAAAATAAATGTAACGTATTAATCTTTTGACTACAATCACCATCAATAAATAATTGCCATCAATAAACGATTCTAAGGAAATCGAAAACTTTTAGCGCCATTATCAATGCATACATACTTAAAAAATTATTAAAATATATCTTTCGCCTAACTAATCACAAAAAAAAACTTTATAAATAATCTCAACCTAAAATTGTTTCAGAAACAATTTTACCCTATCTAATCTACCCTATCTAACCCTTTACTAAGAAAAAAAATATAAACAAACACTCGTGTTACAGATTATCGTATTCTGTGCCCTCGCTTCCATGACAACCGCCGCCTCTTTAGCCGGATACACCACTCCCATTCCCATTTTGAGACAGAGTTTGGACGGTCCAAATCCAGATGGAAGTTACAGTTACAGCTACGAGACGGCGAATGGCATCCAGGCGCAGGAAATCGGATACGTTAACTATGTGGGTATCCAGACGGAGGCACGTGCCGTCCAACAGGCCCAGGGTAGTTACACCTTCACCGCGCCGAACGGTGAAGTTGTCCAAGTGAACTACGTGGCTAACGAGAATGGATTCCAACCCCAGGGTAGTCACATCCCCCAAACACCACCGGCCATCCTCAAGGCGCTCGAGTACAACGCAGCTCACCCCGAGCAGAATAACTACGGCACGCAATGAAACGGGATGAACGAGAGAACAGGATCGGTCTCGAACCTCCTCGATGATTACTACAATATTTGAGCCAAAGTTTGGGGAAAAAGAGAAATCGAATGTTCTCCTTTTTTGTTAGAAAGGATTTGCTCGATTGTGCCCTCCTGAAAAGAAAAAGTGGAGAGAGGAGATTTGAAACTAGATCCTCGTGCTATTTTTTTTTTTAATCTATGAGTTATTATGTTTCTTAGATTTCTTATTTTTTTAAAGGGAGAAATTGTAAAACAACGCACAGAATTATTGTAAATAAATTGTATATTCGAACTTTTATCATGCTTTGTTGATCGAATTATCGAAAAAATGTTTCGACGTATGCGTAAAAATGAATCTAATTTTTGTTAAGGATTAGTTTTGTTAACGGTTAAGTTGAACTAGTTTTAATTTTAATTGATCGGCCGATGTGCGCAAGGATTATTTGAAGATATAGCTTTAGTGTAGATTTTCTGAATACTATGGATGCTACGGATTTGAATATTTATGAAATATTGATAATAAAAGATAAAACGATAAGATTTTCAATTGAATTAATACAACAAGCTTAATATAATAATAATATTGTAATACATACTATGTTATTATCATTATAATTACTTTCATAGAATTAAGAAATAATTGTTGAAGTTTTGTTCAATTTTTAAGATAATCTAAATAATCGTATAAAAGCTTTTTACATAAATATTTATTTTTATAAGTAATTATTTGATAATAATAATATATCATTGATTTGAAATAATGGCAAAATTGCAATAAAGAAATATTTCACGAAATGAAAAAAAAAACAATTTTACGTAAATTGTTTTAGTTAAACTTAATTAATAAATATAATAATGTACACTTGTTGGAAACAAAGTAATTGTAATAATAATTTAATTTTAAATTATATTATATATTATGAAATGTTGCCAATAGTATTAGTATATTTTTAGTATATTAAATTGTTATTATATCATAATTAAAATATCATTAAATTAAAAAACAAAAAAACAATTTGTTAAAATAAAGAAAAACTTATTATATTGAAAATATTTCTGAAATCAATATTTAATTAAAAATTTGCAATTTTGCAGTTGCATTAAACTGAGATTATAATAAATGCGTTTTCCTGACAAATAATTTAAAAATGTTTATAAAATTATAAAGTTTATAAAAAATGTTTATAAACTCATATAAAGAAAACATATATTATATATGCAATAATTTGTTTGTTTAATTCTTCTACCAATTTGTTCATTAGAAAACGCATTTATGATATAAAATATCTCTTTTCTTTCGTGAAAAGCATAAGTTAAAAAAATCTTTGCGAATATAAAATGAAAAATTACTTAAATGATTATTATATTTATGAATATTTATTATATTTATTATTTAATTAATTATCATAATGCGCAGAAAAATTGTTATTCAATTAATTATGAAAATTATTCTAATATATGCAATTAGTATATTATATATAAAATATAAAATATATATATTATATTTATATTTATAATATATTATATTTATATTATATTATATTTATAATATATATAAATATATATTATAATATAAAAAGTACTTCATATTAATATCTCAAAATTTCTTTTCCTTCATTCGATTAAACTAATTCGATTAAATTAAAACTAAAATAATATTTTTTTATAATAAATAATTTATTATTCTATTAAAATGAAAAATATATTGTTAATGTATATTTTATAAATAATTGTATATAAAATATATAAATATATAAATATAATATGTATATAAAATATATAAATATAATATAAAAATACTTTAAATTATATAATACTTTAAATACTAATAATACTTTAAATATTAAAAATACTTTTAAATTATATTATATTTTAATCTTTTACAATTTTACTTGCAAATATATAGAGTTAATAATATTTGAAGCTCTGTTTTTAAATACTTCAATATTTTAAATTATTAGAATTACAGTATTAAAAGTGCATATTTAATTATTCTGGACATAAATTTGACTCTAATCAGATCATTTTTATAAAATGTCTTATTAATAACAATACTTATTTCATTATTTATTTCTGCATAAAATATTATATGAATAATCAAAATTTATTTATTATTATTATTGAAATAATGTGCCAAACTATATTGTTTAAAGTATATAAACTATTATGCATTTATAATTAAAGTAATTAAAATTTTTAAAAAGTGCTAACTCTTGTTTTTATTTTAACAAGTACAATCACATTTAAACTTAATTACTTCGTAAAAGAAATATTTTTTTAAAATAAAGTTAAATGTGTTTTAAATATACTAATTAATTATTTTTAAAATTCATTTAAAGAAAGTATTAAAATAAATATATATATTTACTAAACAATTAGAATTCCTTATCTTAATTTTATTATCCTTATCATATATAATTTAAATAATAATATCTTATATAATCAACTATTACTATACTATTACTATACAATTACTACACATTTCATAATTATAATTATGATTTATTTCATGTAATAGATAAAAATAATAAATCATAATTTTGATTTATCTTTATGATATATATTTGTATGAGAAAAAAACTATTAGAAATAGTTTGTAAAGAGTTGATCTTTTTATAAAAAAATACAGTTAAGCAAAAATAATAAAAAACAAAAAGCAATTTATTTAAAAAAATAATTTGAAGTTTAATTTTAATTTTTAATGCAAATATATGAAAAAATTTTTAAAATAATAAAATTATTTAATATTATATTACTTATATTTATATAAGTAATTTTATATATATCATATGTTTTAATATTTATTATTTAATATTTTTTTTTTTTTACTATTTTATTCTATCTAAAGTGAGTTTGAATTGAATTTTGTTTTTAAATTTAAAGAATTTCAACAAAATTTGAATATATTCATAATGCATACATATAAGATAAAATGTAATTAATGTTGATTAGTTTTTAAAAATATGAAAACGTTTAATATATTAAACTTTTTAAAATTTTTCTCTTTTTTTATTTATAAAATGACTAAAAAATTATTAAATTATTAACATTTTCTTTTTTTATTTATAAAAAATAACTAAAAAAAAATAATTTTCTCAATTAATAATTAAACATCACAGAAATGATAATTTATTCGAATACTGCCTGAATGCGATATTAATACAAAGATATCATTATTTATTTGTAATTAATTTGTATATGTCCAAGAATTTGTATATTTTCTGCACATCATATAAAAATTTTTCTTTAAAATAAGAAATTCTCGCAAAAAGTAGAAAAATATTAATTTCTATTTTATTAGGATAATTGAATTGAATGAAAATGAAACTTTTCTTGGTATTAAATGCATATTTAACGACTAATAAACATCATTCGACAAGGAAAGGAAGACGATTAAAAAGTACAACACGAAGAGAAAGAAAAGAAAAAATAATCAGAAAAATCGATTATATAATCAAAAATAAAAAAAAATAAAAAACAAAAATTATACAAAATTATATAATAATTTCTTTTTAAATGTATTTATGAGATCATAATAAAATATATCAATTATTATATCTTCTAACTTTCTCGAATAAAAAAAATCAATATGAACGTTCATCGATCAAACGAGTCAAATTCATACCAAATGAATTTTCTATGAAAATATAAATTTTATTTTGTACATTGTAAAAAAAAAACTAACATAAAAACTTGTTCTAACAAATAAGATATTCCCTCCTTAATTAAAATTTTTCATCTAACATTTCCATTTTTCATGATACATTCAAATATTCGAAGTTTTATGTACCATTTAAAAATTAGAAAACCTTATATATTTTGCAAAGATTTAAAATTGTTAAAATTAATTTTTGCTTTAACCAATGTTTTCTAACAACACATTACAATTCAATTATTAACAATTCTCACATATATGTATTCTTAAGTAAAAAAAAAAAAAAAACTTAACCTAAAAGTTTTCGCAAACTTAACCTAAAACCTCGCAATCTTTCGAAATAGAAATATTAATTTACAATTACATAGAAATGTTAGACAAGATATTACGGCTAAGGAGGTATTTTAACGAGTCACGGATCACGAGTAATCAGTTTCGTTGATTCGTTCGTGGCGGTTTGTATTGCCGATTAGTGCTTGCTGGAACAGCGTTTTGTTGGCTTGGTGAGTCTTTGCCAGCCTCCTCGGGTTCCGGGGTCGAGGGTTGTTTCGCAATCCAGTCGAGGGCCCTCTGAATGGCTGGCGGTATTGGGGGTGGTGTTGGCACGTGAGTACCGGCAACTTGAGTGCCGAATTCGTCGGCAGTCCAGCTAATCGCTATCGGTGTGCCGTCTGGGGCGTTATACTGCACGGAGCCTTGGATCAGCTGAGTTTCGGACGGTGTGCCAGCATACTTTCGACTTCCGGTCTCCGTTTGCACGATACCACCCTCGGTCTCGTACGTGAACGAGTAGTGGCCACGATTGTCGCCCAAGTTCCGGTTCTCGCTTATGATCTTTTCCGGTTGCCGGAAATATTCCTGGCAGTGAGCCGTTGCGACAAGGGCGAGGAAGATCTGAAAGACGATGTTGAATATATTTCAAACGAAAAATATGGGGAATAATCGTTGAAATAATTTTGGTGAAATAATATTTGAAAAATAAATAAGGGAAAAAAGAAATAATGAAATGATTTTTATTACATGGTGATAAATGCATTTGTGGAAAATGTTGATTTGAAATATAGCAATTATTGATTCAATTATTAATTGAATTGATGATTTTGTAAGATGTATTATACACGAGAAAATTCCACAATAATGATTGTTCCATAAAATATTTTAAGTTTATGTTAAAAGAATATAAGCTAATATATTGATTATTTTAATTAATGAAAAGTAAACAACGTATATTAAATTTCTAAATAGAATTTTGTTACCAAATTTAAAAATTTAAATTATATATTTTGATCTATTTTTAATCTAAGGATCATATTTTTAATTTTTATTTTAATTTCTATTTATTATATGTAATTAATAAACTAAAAAACTAATTTTCATTTGAAACTATACAACTTATATACTTTTTATAATTTTGAATAATTTTTACATAAATAATATTATAATACTTTTATTTTAACTAAGTAAATTATTTAAAACTTTGTATTTTAAAAATTTGTAAAACTTTTTTGAAATAATAATTGATAAACTATATTTTGAAAATAGTTATATTGAAAATAATAACAAAAATTGTACATTTCATATAACAATAAAAAATAAATATATGAAAAAAAAATCTTTTTTCATATATTTTTTTTTATGGTGATCCTTTGTGACACATTTTTTATATTTGGTACCATTTTATTAACGTTCGATTAGTTAAAGAACATGTTAAACATGTCTAATATGCCAATGTTATTTTGATAGAGACTGTCTAGACAAGTAGGTAGTTAATAGTACGATTAGAGAGAGTTATGATTACCATGTCAGTGATTGATGTAAGCAGCTAATGTAACTTACATCATACGTAATGGCTTCTTAAGAAAAGTCGATATGACGAACCGTGTAAATCAGTGGAATAATAATTTTTTCCCTTTTTTTTTTTTTTTTTTGAATATTTAAAATTTCATGAAAATATTTTTTTCATTGTATAATATATCTATTCATATTTTTACGATAATGTTTATGATTACATTATACGATAAAATGAATGTTAATGATTTTAAAATTTTTTAAATATAAATATTTTCTTCAGAATTAGTTTGTAATGTTAGCTATTATTATTCTTTTATGATCAATGAAATAATTAATCTTTAAAATTTATAAATTCTAAATATAAATTATATATTTTTATTTTCTATTGTCTATTTCATTCACAATTAAATTATAAGAAATGTTACTTTATATTTTCATATCAAATAAATATGTAATATTACTATAGGTACAAGATTTTTGAAATTAATAAAATCTTGTATATAAATATTTATATATTATAATAACTTATTATAATAAATATAATAAATATTAATTAAAATTCTAAGTAATAAATAAAAACAATTCATATTAAATATGCAATTCTTAAAAAAAAAAAGTCTATAATAAAATGTATGTATATATGAATGCTTTAATCAATAGATTCTTCATTTATTTAAAATCTTCTTTTAAATTCTTTATTTAAAATCTTGTAATCTACTTCTTCAATTCATATTATATATATCTATTCATTTTTTAATCGTCATTTTTAATTGTTTCTAACTAAAATTTAACTTTAAAGAAATAAATATTTTGTGTGTTTTAATCTTCATCATGCCTGTCCTGTAAATCTGCTGAGATACCTTTCCCCGTGAAAGGTCAGGGTAAGACGAATGTGTTAGAAGGTAGGTCAGAATACTCATTATGATTGCAAGCGGTAAAAGGGACAAACCTGGCTCTAATGTTATTCCATGTAATCAATGAAAAAAATATCCAACCAAATAGTTAATTAATACGTAATTTTTTTCTAGAATTGATTATTTTTCTTGAAAAATTTTATTAATTATTTTTTCATGATTTTATCGTATTAATTTAACAATATTAAATTTGTTACATGATGCAATTTGATCAAAAATTTATTGATCAAATTTTATATTAAAATTATGTTAAACAAAAATTTTAATACTTTCTCCTCGTGAAAGTGTATTTAATTTGAATAATTTTGTTGTAAATTTCATGTTATTATATTTATCATTATATTATTAACTTTTTTATATAAGTATATAAAATTTGCATTTTTTGTCAATTAAAGCTGTTTTTAAAAAATAAATTCTTAAATTGTATATGATGAATAATATATATTTTAAATCAAAGTATTAAATAATTTAGTAATATTATAATTATTACATATATTAATAAATATTTATAAGTTTTTGTTATAGATATTGTTAATATAGAAAATCACTGCAAATCAAAAAGAAAATTTAATAAAATAATTTGAATAACGAAAAAGATAAATTAATAATCCATATTTTTTATATATATTTTGAATTAAAGAATTTTATATAATTTATATTTTTTAATAAATTAATAAAATTTTTTATATATTTTATAATCAAAATTATATTTTATCAATATTTTTTATAATTTCTTCTAATAATAATCAAAAGTTAATATAGAAAATTTTTTTAAGTTAATTCAATATTAATTGTTTATATATTATATTATACATGTGTATTTCATAAAAATTTACTTAATTGAGTAAATTCTACTAATTATGTTTTAAATAATAATTAAAAATATGAACATCAATATTTCGCATTATAATATATTATACAAATGACAATAACTCATAAATAATAACTTTTCTCGTTTTTATATCATAATTATAATTCAAATAAAAAAGTAATCAATTAAATTAACATTATTTATTGCAAATTATCTTCATTTCCAATAAATATCAAGAAATTTTATCAGTCATAAAAATACAAATCATTATAAATATAAATACGCAATATTTTACTATATGCGATTACTATAAAAATAAACTAGAAAATCAAGTTTAAACGATTAATTCAATGCCGTTGACCTGACTTACCCTTGTCACATCATCAAAAGTAATCATTCGATTCTTATTTAGATTTAGATCGTAAATCATCGTATTTTTTAAAAGAGAACAAAAGTTAAAAAAAAACCCTAAATTTTTCATTAACATGTACCAATAACACACTTATTGCATGCGTGATTGAGAATTTCCTATTCTAGGGCGGTTAGCGTGTACGATCGCGTCATAAATTTGTTCAAAAAAAAAAATTTATTTTCCACACTGATCTGATTTTCCTTTTATGCGTTCTTTGTATAAATATATACAACTATATTTTTCGGGATATTCAGGGTTTTACGACTATTCTCTTAAAATTAACACCGGGAACATCCAATCTTTGATTTTTAGCACGGTATTGAACATGTTAACACTTTATCTACAAGCTCCTGATTAAGATTACTCACTCACTAACGACTCGATCAAATCAAGGGGTCGATTAATAGGCCATTGTTCGATAAGCAATAGGCATTAGGAATAAGCTTACCAACAGATAAAGTGTTAAGATCACGGAGCTACGAACGAAAGAGGAAGCGAGTGAAGAAGAGAACAGGTGCGCAAAACGTGGAAAAGAAGAGAATACTTACCAAGGAACGCATGTTGCCAAAACTGCGCAGCGATGTACACGTGCTCCCACGAGAAAATTGCAATAGTGTATATGTGTGTGTGTGGAGAGATAAAAAAGGCGTCAGACGTCACATATAGAGCGGCCGATGGTTGCTGGCGTAAAGTTCGTGAGCAACTCTTGGATCGTTGGAGGAACAGCCGACCTTTATACTGGCGAGTCTACATAGCCAGTTGCCAGCCTTTACATAACCCGAGAAAGTTTATTTCGGGATAGCCACGTCTCGCTCTAGAGCACTTCTAACCGCCGAACGATCCACACCCCCGATACGAAAAAAGGAGCAGAGATGATCGATCCTTCGATCGTGCATGCGCGCAGCTTTATAACGAGATTTCACCGCTGTCCACGACACGCCACTGTCATCCGTCCTGACTTTTCCCCATCCAACATCCAATAAAGAGAGAGAAAGAGAGAGAAAGAGAGAGAAAGAGAGAGAGGAGTTTGCGTAATCTTTCACTTGCGTAATTATGGCGAATGTGTAGGTACCGATGTCGTCTCTTTTTCGGCGAATTCGAACAATGCAACTGGGATGCGAGATGAATGCGATCGTTCCTTTGTAAATGGGATTGACATCTTTAATTTCGAAAATCTATTATTGATCCACGCTCGCAGATGGAATTCTATTTTATAAATTACTGTATATGTAAAGTATATGTTATTAAATTATTAATAATTTTATACGTTGTAATTTATAAAATTAAAATATTTGTTTTAAATTTGTTTAGTTCTAGGATTTGACATAATATAAATTATTCAATAATATTATTATAAACGAATTTAACGAATTAATTATTAAATAGATATAATGATTAATTTTATAATAATTTTCATTTTTCTTTTTTTATTTTAAAACGTATTATTAAATTCTTAAACGTATTATTAAATTCTTATTATTAAATCTAGTGATTTATGGGAATATATGCATCGAGAAATGATATCAGCCCAATGGCACTTCAACACAAAAAATTCACGTGATTTTAAAATAACTGAGAGAGCTATTGTTAATAGTCGGATGTTAATAGTCTAATCTGTTAATAGTTTAATCTGTCACCGTAGATAATGGAAAAGAAAGAGAACTTTTTTCACTATATAAAACATATATCGTCAATGCTAATATTTTAATACAATGAGCACATTTTATGTAAATACTTGAAAACAGCTAGAAATATATTCAGACATAACAATTTCTTGAATTAGCATCAATATCCTTAATAAAATTTTTATGAATAAATTCATGAAGCATTTAAGAATGTCGATGGAGATAAAGATCGAATGCACTCAAAAAAAAAAAAAGAAATTTCGTAAATCTTTATGTGGGCTTTAATGTCAAATGCAAACGAACCTTTTAAACTGCAGTTTGAGAGAATCTTAACTCGCTATTTCTTATAATCTAAAGTGCAATGATGTTTATCATGAACAACATAATAAATAAATTCCTAATCTAGGTCAATGCTGTTTTACTATCATTAAATTCTCTTAATGTAATTTACATTTCATTGACTTATTGTATGTGCATTCTTAAGAGAATCAAATACACTCAAAAGCTAAAGAAATAAATAAAAAAACAATTATAATTCTATATGCTATAATCTAATTTTAAATTGTAAAAGAAAATGAATAAATTCATTAACACTAATTATTGATTAAAAAGTTAATAACGAAAAAATTAATAATTCTTTATTTTTTCTTTTTGAAAATTTTTTTTAAAAATCTGCAGATTTCATTTGCAATAAATTATCAATTAATATATTATAAAGTTAATATAAATAACAAAAAAAATTAATAACTCTTTATTTTTTTGAATTTTTTTTAAAAATCTGCAAATTTCATTTACAATAAATTATCAATTAATATGTTATGAAGTTAATAAATACATTTGTATAAAATAAAGATAAATATGGTTGTATAAATAAAAATATAAGTAATATATTTGTATAAAATAAAGATTCATTAATTAAATTTTCCTTCCTAGATTAATAGAAAGAAATAAATAGAATAAATATCACGAATATAAATATCAATAAATGATATCATTCTGTTTAATTCTTTTTTTTTGATTTTACATATTTTATATGTTATTTTTTTAAATAAAAAATAATCTCATATTTTTCAATATTTTTATATTTTTCATATTTTCATTATAAATTATATTTACAAATCATATTATTTAAATTTTGAATATTATAAGTTTTCTGTACAATATATCACTTTTGCTACATTTTTATTACATTTTTAATAATCTTATAAAACAAAATTAAAAAAATATATTAAATATCACATAAAATTAATCATGATTAAGTTAAAAATTTCATAATAAATAATTTCATAAATATAAGCAATAACTTGATATAAATAAAAACAAAAGAATTAAAAATTATTAATTAATAGTTTTACAAATTAATCCAATATTCTCGTATAAAGAACGTAACTACGATTATTTTATCTTGATCAAAAAGTGCTAGAATCTGCACAAAACGAATTGTTTAGTCGATCGTAAAACATGCTGAACTCACATTATCGAGTTGCAAGTAAGCAAGAAATGTTACATTCAATTGTATCCGTTATTTATCAGGAGGATAATGACATCGACGTCTTAAACACCAGTTACTTGCACTTCTGTGAGAATTCTATGTATACAAGTCCTTGGCATAGTGATCCTTAGTGTATTGCTATGAACGCAATAAGCGTTCATATAATTGCATTAACCGCTACCTAATGTATGCAAATCAATATTTCTCTTTGCAAAAGAAAGATTTTCAATGAAAGACAAAATCTCTATGTATTCTGATAAAAAGAGAAAAAAAAATGATTTTAAGAGTTGAACAAATATTTATAAATTTAAAAACTTATTCGTCACGAATTTTGTTTTAATAACAATTTTATATTTATGTATGTATTATATATCTTTTATTACCTTATGTTCATAATTGTAAATAAATTCTTATTAGGATACGCATAAGATACATGCATTAGACGAAACCAAATAAACTTTAAAATAAAAATAAAAGAAAATTAAAAGATTTTAAATATTGATAGGTATATTTAAATTTTAATAATTATTTTACATTATTCGAAAAATCATATTAAATGTGTACGAAAAAAAGTTTTATTATATAATATAATATATTATAATATTTTTAAATTAAAAAGACTTAAATATTATTTGTACAAGAAAGGAGAAAGTGTGTACGTGCATATGTGCATCTATATATGTCATTAGATTATTCAAATAAATATGTATACATATACAATAAATATAATTATATAATAATATGTTAAAAAAAAGCGATATCATAGAATAAATAAATAATAGTATTATTGATTTTACTATTTTTCATTGAATACATTTTTCTTAGTTTACGTAGCAAACCAAGTTTATATTATGAATGTTGCTGATTTTACTATTTCATCAAATATTGTTACAATCATAAAATTTGTTGTAGTTACTGATTCACAAATTCGTTTTTTAAATTTATAATTTTATATTGTTTAAGTTATATTACATTACACATATTACATGTGTATACACGTATATATACATATATTATATGTAATATTACATATATGTTGATATTTAAGTGATATTTAATATATTTTTTTAATTTTGTTACATATAATTTATAAATATTTGAATATAATTATCTAATGAGAAAATTATAATATAATATATATTATTAATATTAATAAACATTATAAAATAAAATTATTAAATCAATTTTCATTTTAAAATTATATAATAGGAATTTTAAATATTTTTATTCACGTATCTTATATTTTATAAATTTACATAATTATTTTTTTTTATGTTATATTTAATTTTATGTTATATTTTATTACTGTTAAAATATAACAAATAAAAATATATAAAAGAAGGGCGAATAAAAGTAAGTTAATAAAAGAAATATTGTTTTCTCATTTAACAATAATAAAATAGAATCATTTAAAATTTTTTACAATATATCCTGTATTGTACAATATATCCTAGCTATATCTACTATATCTTGATTTATTGAGTTAATACAACAATCATTTAACGTGTATATTATAATCGATTAACTATTATAATCACATCGACTAACTAGTATATTATAATACTAGTGATATATTACGGAAATGAAAGTTCTCAAATAAATTGATATAAAATTTCCTGATACTTGCTATTTTACGTCATTCAATTTCAACGCTAAATCATGTTTGACTTATGAGACTGATTCTATTGACATACATATAAATAACATTGTAATAAGTAGAATAGATTGTCTATCTATAGGCATTAATATAGTCGGCGCGCGATAATTTAAGTTTTTTTTAATATGTATGCAATATAAATAAAACTTATAATAATCAAAATAATATATTATTAATTATTAATATTTTTATTTAAAAAAATTTTAAAATTATATATAAATTAAAAATTAGAATTTATTCCAATTCCAATCCAATATTTGCAAAGCATAAACTAATATATATATATCATTAGATTTTCTTAATTCCTTTCAAAACTTCATTTTGAAATTTTTTTTTTGTTTTTCAAGATCATTAGAATTCGATTGCTCATTTTTAAAATTTTTTTTATAAATGTATATCACAAAGAAATGATTAAAAAAGTCCTGCTAAATCCGCGAAAGAATAATCTTTCTACAATTCAAATTCATCAAATTTATTTATTAATTTTATTTTTTAAGAAATCGAATTAACGATTGCTATAACATAAATCTATAAATAAGTTTAGGAGAATGCCTACATTCTCTCATCAGAATATTTCATTCTAAAACTTTTATTCAATCTTAAGCTTTAATCAGGACAAAAATTTCAACAAACTTTCATTTCCCTTATTCATTTCTTCTATTTGCATTTTCTCATATCATTCTCATACTCGCTATGACTATCTTATTTAAAATTCTCTCGTAGCAAAGTTTCCAAATACCATTTTATCTTCTACCAGTCACTTTCACAATCTGACTTTCTTCTCTCATTCGTTGCATCCTCGATCATCCTCTCGAAGCATCCATCGATCACATCGCTAATGGAAAACATCGTGCAAAGAATAAATCTCGATTCGACTAACTAGAAAATTGTAGTGAAGTTGGATCATCGA